TTTCCCTTCCCCTCCCCACTGTCTCACCTCATTCAGACAGCCCTTTTCTAATATCCTCTCACTCTCCCAATACATACTCAAAGAATGAAGGAATGTAAACTGAGATGCTAGAATTAAGTTAGAAATCAGAACACGCCAAGTAGAGAGAAGAACACTTACCAGCAATAAGAAAGATGGGAAAGGGGTGGGGGACTGGTTGGGAGGGAAGATTAATCAGAGGATTTCAGACTCACAAGGAGCCCATCTTTCCAAGACCCTCATTATGACCCAAATCCTAGGTACTGCCTTTGCATGTTTAAGTGCTCAAATGGTTTCTTTTGGGGAAAATGATCACTAAGATGATTGCTAATGTTTCCACCTTCTAGAAAGAACAGAGTGGGAAAGAAAACTGCTGCTTTAATCCAATCGGATAGGGGTTTTTTTGTGGTTTATTTTTTAGATGTGGATAGGCCATCCCAAATCACCATTCAGCAGTTAGTTCTTCTCAATTCCACGGCAGTGAGCCATGTGTTTCACGAATATGTTCATATTTAAGGCTCTACTGTACTTCAGAGTGGCCACATTTGTGAGATAATGAAGCTGTATCTCAAGGTGAATTGTACACTTTTATGTGGCATTAAGCTCCTTTGTATATTGTCGATGTGTACAGAGCTCACGGGGGCTCTGATCACGGAGGCAGAGGGGTGACGTGGAAAGAACACCAGGAACTGGGAGACTGTGAGTCTGGCCTGTTGGCCACCCACTGGCTACAGGAACCTGAACAGGTCACTACCCCTTGGCGGGCCTCGGCTTCCTCATGTAAAGGTGATGCTGTTGGGCGGATGTGCTCTAGGGATCTTTCCCACTTCGATGGGCTGGGATTCCGATAAACACTCATCAGTTAACTGCGTGTGGGTGGCTAAGGGCTCCCCAGATGTCTGAACTACTCTCTTCTGAAACATGCATTTTTTTTTACCTTCCACTGGATAAATACATTCACACACACACACACACACACACACACACACACACACACAGAATCCTGTCTTACAGGACAGTCTCAATTCTCTTTAGAAATGACTAGACATTTCCCAGATAAGTGTCAACAGCCACACTTTCTCAGGCCTCTTTAACAATTTCAGGTACTCGAGAAGAAATCACTGGGCCACAGATGCCAACCAGCATGGGAAACAGCATGAGCCAGAGCCCCCAACCCCTCTCCCCAAAGCCCATTGGGTCTGATGAGAGGCTTGGGTGTTCCCTCCAGGGCGGTTAAAATACGGCTGAAAATTTCTCACACAAGACTCAGGTCCCTTTCTCCCTGCTGATCCCCAGGAGAACGTGATGCAGACCTTGGCCAAGTTTCATAGTGGTATTTTTGGGGGAAAACACAGTTTAGCACTGGTTCTTGAGAGGCTGTGGGGGCACTGGACTAGTCATTTAGTGACAAGCTCACGAGGCAAGGGAGCCAGACCTGGCCGAGTAAGTGCCGAGTTCTCACCACCGTGCACGCAAGCCTCAGAACACACGCAGGCAGGCTCCCTTGTCACGGTTACTTGGAAATTAGATTAAGCTGTAACAACTACATCTGAAAGAACGTGTTTGCTCACTGAACTTCTCATGTAACCATGTTCCACCCTAACAGAGCCAGTCATTTCCAAGATATTCCTATTTTTCTCAATTGCTTCCAGACAGTTCTGTGGTTTTGACTTGTGCTGATCTTTTTCAATGAAAATAAATGAACCATCTGGAAAAACAAGTACACATAAAACACCACTTCCTATATTTTAAAATGTTAAATTTGGAAATGGTGTTTTCTTCCAGAGAATTTCTGGTGCGTTCTGAGCGCCAACAGGTTTAATAAAAACTCGCAGAGACTTGCTGGAGGAGCCAGACCATGGTCTGTGTCCTTCTGACGGCTTTCCGAGGGTGGAACACAGGCACGGCCTGCAGGCCCGATCCTCCCGCCCAAGTCCTGGGAAAGGTGCTAGGACACCTACCCTCTGAGGTCCCCAGCAGGGGAGGGGGTGTCCCGTCAGGAACAGGGCCCAGGGAGGCACACCCCACACCCCTTACGGAAGCAGCAGCCTGCGCTCCCGGCCAGGGCACAGACAGGACATCTGTTCCCACTCAGGTGGCACTCAGCCTGGCCTGGGCTGCAGCAGGCAGCACACGAGGGCCTGGCACACACAGGCAGCGTCGCCAAGTGCACAGCGATGACACTTCTCACCCTGAGGGTCTCCTTGTGCTCCAGACTTCGTGCTGGGCTCTCCCTGCACTATCCCCAGTCTTTAAACCACCTTCCAGCAGGTTCTAGCCTGCCCTCCTTACAGGGGAGGGGTGGGGAAGGGCACGAAAGCATTCGCCTCTTCCCCAGAGCGGGCCAGGCACAGTCCCTAAGTGTAGAGAGCCAAGTTTTTGGAAGTGCAGCCCCCGTCACTCCTCACATTGAAGAGAGGCCGGGAGTGGAGCCCTGGATAAGCCACCACTTTCGGAGGAGGTGACGGCCAGGGTGCTGTCGCAGAAGGAAACCAGACTTGAGTCAGGAAGCCTGTACTCAGGCCTCATGCCACCACTTGCTCCATCTCCCCTTTTACAAAGTCGGGATGGCACATGGCTGCCAGCACCTTTCGGGGCTGTCACGGGATCCAGTGACAACACAAGCCGAAGTGCACTGCAACCAGCGAAGGCCTCCAGGTCGCCCGCAGAGCCTGGGCCGGGGCCACCGCAGCTCACCTGCAGCCCTCGGCTCACATGCCTGAGACCCACCCAGAAGGGACAAACCAACAAGACCCGGCTGTAGGGAACAAAGCGTGCTTACTGGGCACTCCTGACACTAGTCGCAGTGGCCGTAACACCCGAAAGGCGCGGAGGGCTTTGACGTCAAAGCCTCCTGATTTGCCACCGGAGTGGTTACCGCCTTCTGTTTCTTTGGTTAATTGTTCCAAAATTACACTAAACAACCTGAAAGAAGAAGAGAGGAAGAAACGTTAGAGTCTGTCACCCAGGGAAGCAAAACAGGATGACAGCAGTAGTTATTTCTGAACAAGGGCTAATTCTGCGTGGCTGCTGCTTATAAAGGGAAAGCAAGGCCAACGCAGGAACCAGGCTGTGACCCCGGACGGTGACCCCTGTGTCTAACATGATTTGGGTCAGGGAATGATCTCCCATTTCCCTACCAAGGAAACATCCTCAGGCAAGTCCACCAGCATGGCACAGGGGGCTCACTGGGGTCCAACGATGACAAAGGAAATTGCCCCATAGGAATAACGGCAACAATAATCCTAACGGCTGCCATTTCCGAGCACTCACCAGGTGCTGCCTACTTTACGTACATGATCTCATTCATCCTCACCAACCGTTCTGCAGTAGCAATTATTATTAACACCATTTTACAGCTGAGGGAACAAACTTCCTGGGAGCAAGGGACGTGCCCAAGTTCACAAAACCAGTGGCAGAACGAACGCATGGATCCAGGTATGTTGGCCCCATGAGGATGTAGGTTCCACAGGGCAAGGAATTTTAGCCTGTGCTGTTCATTTGTTCATTGCGTCTCTTCTAGGAAACAGTTCCTGATATGTAAGAGGTGCTCAAAAATATTTGATGAATAATTCAATGTATGAATATTGACTTTGAAGTCCCACATCTTCATCGATATGCTTGCCAATATCCCACCTCCACCCTCAATGGGACGTGAGCGGAATGATGTAAACCAGAGGCCAGGGAGCTGTGCAAAGGCCAACCGCAGCAACCTGAGGTATGAAGACCAGCACTTCTCTTTTGAAATGTGAATAACATTGTATCTGGCAGCCACGACAAATTTTTTCCTACTCTCCGAAGGTTTTTCGGATAAAGCTGTTTCCAAGCGATCTGCTCATTTGACGGTTACTTTTGCTCTTTCAAATAAACATTTATTCTTTGGAATTGCTGCTTGTTTTTTCAGAATAAATATAAATTTGCCCATTTCAAATAGAATCAACTCCGGCCAATCAGATTGTGGGAATGACTGGCCGAGCAACAAAGAAAAGGTTTCTAAAGTTTAATTAGCAGCCAAAGCAGAAACTCGGCCCCCACGGGCACGCCTCTGGATGGCCAAGACACCGCGTCCATAAAACACAGGGTGGTCTGAAGTGCAGCCCTGACCCGGCACAGACATGCCATTCCGGGCACTTAAAGTCCAGTCGTTTGTTTTAGTAACACTGCAGCAATTAGCAATGAACCCAGGCGGGCAGGGGCGAACTGAGTCAGTCTCAACCTTTTCAAAGCTTCAGATGACAGGTTTCTCTCATTAGCATAGTTTTTTAATGACTGTAACCCCCTGCAGCAAGGCTAAAGTTCAAAGTCTCCCTCCAAATAAGTTTACAGCTTCACAAAAACAAAGAAAGAAAGGGGAAGAAAGAAAACCTCAAACTTTTCTGAAATGTGGCAGCCACAGGAATTTTCATCCCAAAGGGTTAGGCAAGTAATTTATGCAGGTAGTGACTTAAGATCGCTTTCAAGTGCCAGTGTTTTGCAATGTACACTGTGTGGTCCCTTATCCCCTGTTCTTCAGCAATGTCCTTGAAAACAGGTGAATAATGTCCCTCTCCCACTAGAGGAAGCTGAGTCTGAGAGGGAAGCTGGCTGCTGTTTCCAGACAGCCATGAGTGGAAGTGGTCAGGGGTTGGGGCTGGCTTCCTTCCGGTGAGCTAGGAGGCATTAAAAAAGTCCCTCACCTTCCCTGGGCTTCAGTTTCCTCTGTGTAAAATGAGAAAATGGGATTAAGTCATCCAGAGCCCCACACCGTTCCCATCCTAATATTTTGTGATTCTACTCCCTTCAACACCACCCCCAACCAAAAAAAATGTACCATGTGCCTAAAGAGATAAGGACATGAGGAAAAGTATTTGATATTAGATTATTATTAAAAGTTTTCCCCAAGCTCTGGCCTGTGTGGCTCAGTTGGTTGAGTGCCATCCCATGCACCAAAAGGTCCCCAGTTCTACTCCTGGTCAGGGGACTTGCCTGGGTTGTGGGCTTGATCCCTAGTAGGTGGCATGCAGGAGGCAGCAAGTGCTGTTTCTCTCACATCTGGATATCTCCCCCCGCCCTTTCCCCAAGCCCCATCCTCCTTCTCTGTCTAAAAATCAATTAAAAAAAAAAACATTAAAAATAATGTACCCTAGGACAGGAGAAAAAAGGCAAGCAGCTACCTAACCTGACTCGAGTCAGAAGCACCAGAATGAGCACTGCACATCCCTCTTCACAAAGCTTACATGAAGAGCCTGAATGCTCTGCTCATTGAAAAAAATCAGAGGTCTGGGATAACTGTGGCTCAGATCAAGCGTTCCTAGACAGGGTACAGTATCAGCTCTGGTAGACCCACTGAGTCCTCCTATGGCCACATTTTAGACATATCAATTCCTTTCCCAATTCTCTGTTACTAGGAATCTTGACAAAAGCGGGTCAGGGCTGACTTGGAATGGAAAATCCATTGGACTGAGATACAGTTTGTAGGTGGAAACTTTAGGGAGTAGGAATTTGATTCCAATGAAGACATTTAATTTCTCACCCTTTTAAACTTTTCTTCCACTCTTTGACTACAGTTTAGTACATATTTTAGAAGAATATTGTAATGTTCTAAAGTTTTTCATATTTAATGGAAAAAAAGACCAATTCCAGTTCTAATACTTCAACTTCCTTGAAATTTTACTTTTTCAAAAACAATGTTATAGCTGCTAAGTTATAATAAAATACAACCATTTTAAGCATATAATGGCATGTTTTGACAAAAGTATAAGCCTAAGTAATGACCCCACAATCAAAACATCCAGTATCTCCAAAAGTTCTCTCACGCCTGTTGTAGTCTTCCTCCCCCTAAGCACAGCCTTGGGTAGCGGTTGGCTGATTATCAGTTGGGGCTTTTTCCCTTTTCTTGAATCTTATATAAACAGAACCATACAGCTTGTTCTTTTTTGTTTATCTTCTTTTGCTCACCATGTTTTTGAGAGTCATCCAAGTTGTTACATTAATCAGCAGTTCATTTCTTTTTATTGTTGAGTGATACCACAATGACTTACCCATTCACCTGTTGAGAGATATTTGGGTTGTTTCCACCACCTTTTCTCTATTATGAAATAAAGTCTCTTTGTGAATATGTATTTTCCCTTATCTTGACTAAGTGCCTACTAATAATACTGGTAATATGGTCATATGGTTAAGTATCTGATTAATATTGTAAGAAATTGGCAAACTTTTCCAAAATGATGGTGCCATTTTCCATTCCTACAAGCAGTGTATGAGTTTCAGTTGCTCCATATCTTGGTTAACATTTGGTAGTGTCCATCTTTTTACATTCAGTAATACTATTGGGTATGAAAATGCTGTCCTTGTGGCTTTAATTTGCATTTCTCTAATTACTAATGATGAACATCTTTTCAGATGCTTGGTGACCATTTACATACCTTCTTTTGTGAAGATCTGTTCAAATCTTTTGCCCATTAATGTACTGGGTTGTCTTCTTACTATTGAGTTATAAGAGTTCTTTATATATTCTAAATACAAATCTTTAATCAGTATGTGCTGCGATTTTTTCCCCCCAATTGGTGCATAACTTTTTCATTTTCTTCACACTGTCTTTTGAAGAAAAGTTTTCACTTTTGATAAGGTCCAAATTTTCAATGATTTCTTTTATGGCTAGTGCTTTTTGTGTCCAAAGAAATCTCTGCCTTCCCTAAGGTCATAAAGATTTTCTCCTAAACATTTTATAGTTTTAACTTTCACATCTAGGTCTAGGATCTGTTAATATAGCATCTATGTGCAGTATGAGGTAAGAATAGAGTCTTCTTTTCTTATATACGGGGGAAATGGTTGTTCCAGCACCATTTGCTGAAAACAGCTTCCTCAACCCACTGAATGATCAAGGAACCTTTGTCTAAAACCAATTTTATGGGGGGGCGGGGGGGGGAGAAGAATTGCTTTTGGCCTGGTGTGCTCAGTGGTCGAGCATCAACCTATGAACCAGGAGGTCACAGTTCGATTCCTGGTCAGGGCACATGCCTGGATTGCGGGCCCCATCTCCAGTATGGGGCATGCAGGAGGCAGCTGATCAATGATTCTCTCTCATTGTTGTTTCTATCTCTCTCTCCCTCTCCATTTCTCTCTGAAATCAATAAAAATAAATTTTAAAAATAATAAAAATAAAACCAATTTTATGAGTCTATTTCAAGACTCTATTCTGTTCCATTGAACTTGATGTCTACTCCTTATGTCAATATCACAGTCCTGACTACTTACTGTAGTTTTACAATAAGCCTTAAAATCAGGTTCTAGCTTTGTTCTTAAATATGTCTTTAGCTACTCTAGAGCCTCTCTAATTTCCATTTAAATTTTCAAATAAATTTGTCAATCTATATAACAATCTTGCTGGGATTTAGATTAGGATTCACTCTGTAGCTTAATTTAAGAACTGATATCCTAACAATATGGTTTTTTCTAATCTATGACACTGTACTTCATTCCATTTATTTAGGTCTTCTTTAGTTTCTCAGAAAGGTTTAGTCATTTCAATGCACTATCCCTACATATTTCATGTTTGTTAATGCAACAGTAAATAGCAGTCTTTAAATTTTCATTTTCCAATAGTTCATGACTATTACATAGAAATTCTCAGAGTTTTTTTCATACTGACCTTTTACCCAGAAACATTGCTAAATCATTCAGAAAACATAATTTTGTTTGATTTTCATCCTTTTAAATACACTCAGACCTGTTTTATGTCCCCAGATATGTCTCTCTTGGTTAATACTCCATGTGCCTGTGAAAAGAATGTGTATTCTACTCTTGTTGGTGGGATGTTCTAAAAATGTCAATCAAGTCAAGTTGATTGATGGTACTGTCCAAACCTCCCTGTGTCCATAGTGATTTTCTGTCTACATGTTCTATCAACACTCCTCAAGGGTATTAAAATGTACAATTACAACTGTAGATTTGTCTATTCCTCCTTTCAGGTCTATCAGTTTTGTCTTTGTGTATTTTCAAGCTCTGTTATTAGGCACATATAATCTTAGGATTATTACATCTTCTGAGATTAAAGGACGACCTTTATTATTATGAAATTTCTCTCTTTATTCTTGATCATATCCCTTGTTTTTAAGTCTACATTGTTGGATATTAATATTGCCACTCAGGCTTTTCTTAGTTTTTGCATTTTATATATTTTTCTGTCCTTTTACTTTAAAATTCCTTGTGTCTTTATATTTAAAGTAGTTTTTATAGACACTATAGAGTGGGAACTTTTTAACATATAAAACCTGATAAACTCTGGGTTCTAATAAGAGTTTATAAATCTGGGTTTAAATCTACCATCTTGTTATTTCTTTTCTATCGCTCTGTCCATTGTTAGTTTTTCTTTCTCTGTCTTTTTTGGGTTGAGCTTTTTTAAAAACAAACAAAAAACATTTAATCTCCTCCAATACACGCCTGCTAGTTATATCTCATTATTTTTCTAGTGGCCCCTTTAGAACAAATGTCAGCAGAAAACTTCTCTAAAGTGCCAGAGAGTATCTCTTGTAGGATTTGTAGGCCATAGAGTCTCTGTCACAACTACTCAACTTTGCCATCCTAACACCAAATAGCCATAGACATGAATGAACGTGACAGTCTTCCAATAAAATTTTATCTATTAAAGCAAACAGACATTGTCAGATAATAAATTTATAATAGATAAAATTTTATCTATTAAAGCAAACAGACACTTGTCAATGTCTGGGGAGGAGGGAATGGCAGTAAACCAGATTTGGTCTGTGGGCTGAAGTTTGCTGGCCCACACTCCAGGGTTTACAATATACATCTTTAACTTATCACAGTCTACCTTCAAATAATATTTTGTCACTTCACCTACCATACAAGCACTTTGCAGTAGTATATGGCTCTTTTTCCTTGTTCCTGCCCTTTGTACTATTATGTATCTTACTTTTATAGAAGCTATAAACCCCATAATACATTGTTATTCTTTATGCTTTGAATAATAAATTAATTTTAAAGAGATTTTAAAATGAGAAATGTGTTTTAATATTTATCTAGATAATTACCCTTTCTGACACTCTTTATTCCTTTTTGTAGGTCCACATTTCTTTCTGGTGCCATTTTCCTTCAGTGTGAAGATATTCCTTTAACATTTGTTGAGATGCAGATCTACTGGTGATGAATTCTCAGCTATGGTTTGTCTGAAAAAGTTTTGCAGTTGTTGTTTTTTTTTATTTCAATTTGGAGATCTCTTCACTGAATAAAAAAATTAGCTTACCTAGCACTTTAAAGATGTCACTGTAGTGCTTGCTGGCTTGCATAGTTGCTTACAAAAAGTCTATAGCATCTTTTTTCTCCAACTGCTTTTAAGATTTCCTCTTTGGTCTTGAGCAATTCAATTATGATTATAAAGTGCCTTGATGTAGCTTTCTTCATGCTTATTTTGCTTGAATTTCTTGGATTTTTTTAGTTTATATTTTTTATCGCATTTAGAAAAGTTGGAGCCATTCCTTAAAATATTTTTTGCTGTCTCCCCTCCATCTCCTCTCTTCTGGGATGCCAAATCTATGTATGCTAAAGCATTTGATATTGTCCCACGAGTCACCAGGTGTATTCATATTTGTATCCATCATTACTCTTTGTGTTACTGCAATGTCTTCGTGATCCTTGATATTTTTTCTTCTATTGTGTCTAACCTGCTATTAAGCCAATCCAGAGAACTTTCATTTCAGATATTTGTCAGCTCTCAAAATCCCATTTGGTTTTTTTTTTTATATTGTCCCATCTTCCATCACTATAGTCATTCATTCCTTTAAATCCATAAGCATATTTATAATAGCTATTTTTAAAGTTCTGTAAAATAATTCTCTACGAATTCCATCCTCTCTGTCATTTCCAGGTCTGTTTCTATTGATGGAATTTCCTCCTGGTTATGGGCCACAGTTCTTCAGGTGCCTAGTGACATTTGGCTGGATGCTAGACATTGTAAAATGTCTGGATTTTGTTGTCTTCTTTTAAAGAGTGTGGCGTTTTCTTTAGTGGGCAGTTAGGTTACTTGAATATCAGTTTTCTCCTTTTTAGGCTTTTTTCCAAACATTATCAGTAAGGGTTTCAGGTAGTCCTTACTCTGCAGCAGAGGCTGGCAAATTTATTTCACAAGGGGCCAGATAGCAAGTACAGGGTGGGGCAAAAGTCAGTTTACACTTGTTCATATGGACAATAATACAATAATTAATAAGTAATAACCCAAGAATAAGCTCCGTGTTTCACATATTCACAACTGTAAACCTACTTTTTCCCCCATCCTGTATTGTAAACACTGTGGATCTAAACTACTCAATTCAACTCTGTGAACAAATATATGACACTGTTATAATAAAACCTTATTTACAAAAATCAGTGGCAGGCTGGATTTGGCCTGTTGGCCATAGTTTGTCAACCCCTGCCTGGAGCTAGTTTATCCCCAATACTAATGTCCCTATGGAGTCTCTACTGACGTTCCAGGGTGTTCAATGACATCTTTCCACACTGGTTGGTGTTCCCTAACAGTGTTCTTTGCCTGGACTCACAGAATATCACCCCACGTAATTGTTGCTGAACATTCAGTCAAAACTCAAGAGGACCCCAAGGCATATTTATAGAGCTCTTTATCTGAATAGCTCCCTCCCCTTCCACACTAGGCCTCTCAAATTTTAGCCACCTCAGCCTCCCTGACCTCTTGTTTCTGTCTCAACTTAACGAGACCACCACTCTGTACCTGGTTCCCTCTCTGTGCTGTACTACAGCCTGAAAAATGTCTCCAGGCAGAAAGCCAAGGTAACTGAAGGGTAGGGACAAAGAAATGGAGCTAAGAATCTCCATCCTCCAGGGCCAGGAGAGGCACAGCAAGATTATTCCAGAATCAAGAGACTGGCAAGGTTCCTGCTAGCCATTCCTGTGAAAGCTCACCAGATACAGGAAGGTATGATACACATCTATCACCTATTCATTTTAGCTGCACTACCTTGGCTGTCATACCTTAGATGCCAATATACTATGGTGAGTTTTGCAAAAGCTAACTTTTTTCCCACAAGTCTAATTATCCCACTGGGCCACCATTGCGGATCCCATTTTAACTTCAAAGGTTTGAAATTAGAGGCTCAAAAGTTTTCCCACTCTCCCACTATCCAACTAGGTTAGTCTCCCATAAAAAGCCAAAGGTTTCATAATAAAAGAATAATCCAAAAGATAAATTATCTTGCTCAACTATAAAAGGTAACTGAACAAGTCATAACGATGAAAACAGAGAGGTCATTTAACAGTCTCTCTCTCTAAGACCAAATGTAATTTTAGGAGCAACCCATTTTGTAGCTGGGTAACGAAGACTCAGCGATGGGATCTAGTTTTTTTCCGTGTGGGTATTTGGTCCAAAGATCCAGCATTACTCTGACACTGATTCGTTTTTCTCTTGCTGGCCACATTTCCAGGTGTGGAAGGACCAGAGTAACACAGGCCACTGATTTTCATTTTACCATTTTCCTTTAAATAAAACTGTTGGTGTCTTCTTCCTGTGACAGGATTTCGGGATAATGCCTGCCTCTCTGCATTTTCTGGCTTATTTCATTTCATGCCAGATATCTGATATTATTCAGACACTTGTTTTGTTATTTAAAATGGGATAGCAGCATGCCAAAGTTTTTCCCCACAAGTCAGCAGAAAGAATTAATAGCTTTGCTCAAGGGATGTTAAACAGCAGAGTACCTCACTGCTATAAGGATTTATTACTTTTTTACTATTCTGAGTTTTTTTTAAAAAAAATTTAACAGGGTGCTAAATATAAGAGCTCTACACATTTGACTCAAATCACCAGTAGGGCTGGCCTATTTGTGGAAGCCAGAGGCCCTGTAAGATGAACCCTCTCACATCAGGAGCTTAGACTTCCTGCTATAGCCGTTTCTGAAAGCACGAGTAAAAACCATGAGAGATTTCTTTTCTTTTCTTTTTTCTTTATTTTTGTCCTCACCTGAGGATATTTTTTCCATTGATTTCTAGAGAGAGTGAAAGGGTGGGAGGGAGGGGAAAGAGAGAGAGAACCATCAATGTCAGAGACACATCGATTGGTTGCCTCCCACAATGTGCCCTGACCGGGGCTGGGGGTCAAAGTTGCAACCTGGGTATGTGCCCTTGACTGGGAATAGAACCCTCAACCCTTTGGTGCATGGACTGACGCTATGACCATTGAACCACACTGTACAGGGCAAAACCATGAGAGCGTTTCAAACCAGTTCTGCCTGGAGATTGCCAGCAGCATCACCAGTCTTCAAAGAACTCCTGACAGGTCTGGCTGCAATCACCAGCACAGAGGAGTAACCACATTTCCTCAAAAGACGCAGTTCTGTCCCTCCCGCCTCCCATTTTCCAAACAAACATCTCCCCCAAAATAAAAGGGACTTACCCTACTATTACTATAACAAAATCCAGTAAATTCCATCCATTCCTAACATAAGCATTAGGATGTAGCAATAATCCATAAGCTATAATCTTCAAAAATGTCTCGACTGTAAAAATAATCAGGAAGGCATATTCTACTTTTTCCTGTGAAGAAAAACAAAGAAAAGGGAGGGGGGAGAAGAAGGAGAAAAGATTTTAAAAATACAGATTAAAAATATTAGAATCAATTTCCAAGCATTTTTCCCCAAGTCACATTTTCATTAGGAGAAATGGAACCATTTACACTGCACCTGGGCCAGGGAGGCACGTTCCTGCTCACACTGAATTCCTCATAAGCAGCTAAGCATAACCCTCTTCACTGGGGGCTGCGTGATTGCATTTTGCCACCTGCCCTGATGCATGTGCGATGAGACTGCTAGGACATAACAGGCATGCTTGTTATTTGCACACATTTGCAAAACGCAGCATGTTTCCTCCTGAGGCTGCCAAACCGGGCCCCGAAAAGCACGGAGGGTGCAGCAAAGATTCCAACGGCAGCTTTGAAGGGAACGTCCTGCGGGAGAGAGGAAGATGTGTCTGCTTTGACCCTCTCTTGATCGTGGGTTTATATCTGACTTGTAAGTCAGGGTCAGCTTTGTCATTGAGCAGCACGGTGACCTTGGCAAAGCCCCACCTCTCCTCTGGACCTACGTTTCCTCATCCACGCGCACAGTAATGGGGGTGAATTCAGGATAGAAAGGCCACAGTCTGCTTATCGGTGTGCCACCTTTCTCGGATGACCCTGCTGAGTGCTGAGTGGTCACCACGCATGTTCCCAGGCCAGGCTCAACCTTCTCTGCTCAGCAGTCACTCCCACGCCATTGCCACAGACCTCCGAGACTCCGTGCTCGGGCTACATGAACCTTCCCAGTTCCAACTCCTGCATCTCCACGGATATAGAAAACACACCCATCAGTCTAAAAATGTTGATTTTTTCCTCTTTTATAAAGGTTTTCTTTATACAATGTCAGCTTTCCTAGAAATATGGGCCGACCGAGATGTGTGTGATTAATTTTACAAGAGGCATTCCCTGGTAAGAAGCTACTTGAATAATAACTAGATGAAAAATCCTCAGGAATGAAACTCTTCCATATGGGCCATAACGTCCTCTACTGATATGAACTCTACACTGTGGGGCCTGAGGAAAGTCACCAAGGTCAGGAAAAGGAAGCCAGGAATTCACTTATTAAGATGCCTGGCACACGAGGTCAAGTCGGCCTGGCCCAGGAAACACTCAGTGAGCACCCCTTTGCTTGGCGGACCCATACCCAGAGCCAGGTAGAAAAACGTCTCCACTGTGGTCCCCAGCCTCAAAAGGCTCAGCCTGGTGGGGGAGGGGGCGAGGGGAGGTTTCTAACGTGCACACGGAGACAGTCCCCAGAGAGGTAAGTGACAAAGAGCAAGCCTGCATCATTAGCCGTCTGATAAGGCCAAAGGGCTCATCCACTTCTCCCCTGCGAGGCCTCTGCTTTGTTACATGTATATGGCTGCTCTTTTGCCTCAGCCACCCTGGGCTCGAGCCATCTGCCACCTGTGCTACGCCTCTGCTGCTGGCCAGTTCCAGTCCCCAGCTGAACTTCTGCGTGTCTTCTCATGGCATCTTTAGCACCAGGGGAACCATCCGACCACTATAGTACCCCAGACTTCACCCCCACTCCCGACTCCCCACTGGTTCTGCCAGAAAACCAGTTTATCAGTTCTTCCTTCCCGGTCCCTGCCATTCCTAACCTGCCCTCAGAGGGCCCTTTCATCCTCAGCACACCGGCATGGCAGCCTAATAGATTCTTTTGTGCAGTGAGCTAGCAGAGTCAGTGGGTTTTCCATTTTAAAAGCCCAGTTTGAAACGCATCCCTATGTTTACCCCAGTATGACTTACAATAGCCAAGATATAGAAGCAACCTAGGTATCCATCAATAGATGAATGGATAAAGAAGATGTGGTACACATATACATGGTGGAATATTACTCAGCAATAAAACAGAACGAAATCTTGCCATTTGCAACAACATGGATGGACCTAGAGAGCATTATGTTAAGTGAAATAAATCAAACAGAGAAAGACAAATACCTATGATTTCACTTACATGTCGAATCTAAAAAGAATAAACAAAACAAAAACAGACTCATCAAAACAGAGAAGAAAGGTAAAGGGGGGATAAATGATGGAAGGAAACTTGACTTGGGGTGAACACACAAAACAATATACAGATAATGTATTACAGAATTGTACCCCTGAAACCGATATAATTTTATTAACAAATGTCACCTCAATAAATCCAATAAAAATAAAATAAATAAATTTAAATAGTAAAAATAAATAAAATAGAGAACAAACTGAGAGTTGCCAGAGGGGAGGGAGATAGGGGGATGGGTGGAAAAGGTGAAGGGTAGTAAGAGGTATGAGCTTCCAGTTATAAATATGCTACAGGGCTGTAAACACAGCACAGGGAATGTAGTCAATAATATCGTAATAACTTTTCACGGTGTCAGATGGGTACTAGACTTACAAGGGTGATCACAGTGTAAGGTATATAAATGTCAAATCACTATGATGTATATCTGAAACTAATATAACATTGTATGCCAATTATACATTTTTTAAAGCCTAGCTCCTCCACAGCCTCCAGACCCATGCTTCCTCCAGACCTTCCAAAAAAAAAATCAGGCCCTGTCCTGGGGTTCGCTCATCCCCTGCACCCCAATCCTTCCTCCAGGCGGTGGAGAACTTCCTTGGCTATGACATCACCGCCTCCCCCAGTCCAGGCTGAGGTGAGCCCGCTGCAAAATGCTCCCAGGGCAGCAGCATGCATTCCCCCTTCCTGCCACACGCAGACCTCCAAGGCCTCTGGTCACTCTCCACACTCCCTGTAACCTCCATGAACACCTCTCCTGTGCACTGTCTTGTCCCTGAGCAGGTGCTGCCATGGGAGGGGCATTCACTCCACTGTTGATGTTCTGAGGAACAGGGGCCCACTTTGCTATTGGGTGGAGAGGAGACACCCAGGAGGGCTTCCGTGAGGCAGTGACATTAACTTTGAGAGCTCAAAGGAAGAGCTATTCTGTTGTTTTAACCAGAAGTAACAATCCCTGAAAATAGCAATCCACTCTACTGAAATTAGACCCTGGCCGCCAAATGTGGATTTTCAATATGTTTTGGAGACTTGGGGTTCTAAGGGCACAGGATAAGCTGAAAACAGCATGCTGATTTTATAATTTCACTCCCCCTTTTATATCTTCTGCTTTATTTACTAGGCCAGACAGGGGGAGGAAGCTTTTGCTGCCATCAATATTCATAGCAGTTACATGCCTACGTCAACACAGTGCTATGCTTTAGAGCAGAAAAACAAGACAAGGAACAGAGAGTACACCTACCAACACTGCTTGTTTTTCCTCTTTGGCTTTCATTTATAAGTAATTTTGCCACAATAATACAAGGCCCATTAGTATAACTGAATTGTTGAGGGCTCTTTTATCCCCCTCTCTTGTCCTCTTCTCTCTCCTTTTTATAGAATTTGGTTTCTCTTTTCAGAATCCTCAGTGCACTACTGGATGAAACTGACTACAAGAAATACAACTCGCTTTAATGTGATGCTTTATCACAAAGGCGCTGCCATAAAGCCAACTCAACATCAGCCTGGAGAGCAAGGCAGACCCTCTGCCTAAAAGCCAGTGTCGTCCTGGTCCCTGGTCCTGCTGTTAAAAAGGACTACGCAACAAATGCCTCTCCGCGTTAAGCAAATGTCGTGTAAAAAACATCTCGCAAAAAAACCATTATGGGAAGGGGGGGTCATTATTTACACACACCCCCCCCACACACACACAAAAAAAAAGTTGCTCATTTGAGGAAAGCATGTTGAGTTAGTCATGTGAGAAGGAAGCCGTATTCCTAACTGGGCGAGGCCGGAGTGGGCACGGAGCTGAGGGGCCGCTGAGGTGTCCGTGGAGAAGGCATGGAGTCTGTGCAGGATGGAGGAGAGCACGGCGGAAGGATAAAGGAACGGGCTGAAAAGAGGCAGGCAAGAACCCTCTAGAAGTGGACCGGAACCGAGCTGTCCCACGGCTGGGCTGCCCTTTAAAGTCCTATCCCAGGCTATACAAAGAGAGTAAATGATCCCTGCACCTCAATGTCTGCATTTGCCAGGCAGAGTCACATGACAGGATCCTGGGTGGGCAGGGCCAGTCAAACCTCCTTTTAAGAAACCACCAGCCCGGCCAGTGTGGCTCAGTTGGTTGAACGTCATCCCATGCACCAGGAGGTCACTGGTTTTATTCCCAGTCAGGGCACATGCCCCTGTTGTGGGCTCCATTCCTGATAGGGAGTGTGTAGGAGGCAACCACAGCCTATGATGTCTCTCTCATCGATGTTTCTATCTCTCTCCCTCTCCCTTCCTCTCTCTGAAAATCAATAAAAACATTTTGTTAAAAAGCTAGTAGCTAATCAAAAAAAGAGAAAGAAACCACCAATTCCTCTTAATCAGATACCAATCTATATGAGTGAAAGTCCCTCATGAGACCTCAAGCCACCAAAGAAATAAAGGCACCAAATTTAATTCTGAAACCTGACTTATTTTCTTTAAACACCGAAGTTTCACCAAACAGAAGAGGCTCCACCAATAGTCTCTAAACCAGTTACCTCTACACAGAACCTTGAGAAACAGAAACTGCAACTGGCAGGGAGTAGGAGGGGCCAGGACCCTCCATGCTGATGCTCGCCCACCTCCGTGCCTTTGCCTACCTGCTTCCCCCACACAGTGTGCCTCCCCCAACATATGGAGCTCTTCCCCCCACCCTCACCCCCCGCACTCAGTGAGCACACAACAAGCCCAGCACTGGAATGAACTTGGAGTCATAAATAATATCTGTTTTCTACGAGCCCGATTCAGGTCTACTTCCCGTCCCCTCTTTCTAGAGTGATTTCCCCCATCCTGCTTTCATTGGGCTAAGTTCTACTCTTCCTTCAAGGCTCAGCTTAAATGACACTTTCTCAGCAAAACCCCTGCTGACCTCTCAGACAAAATCAGGGCCTGCAGTTAGGTGCTGTCAAAACTCATTACACTTCTTCATAACTTTATGTGCAAATTTTAAATTCTTTAAAAAATCTCTTC